GTCACATATTTTAACTTCGATGAGCATGTATCCTCTCCCACTAACATCAGTATTCACTACCCCTCTTATAATGGCGTAATCAAACTGGAAAATTAATTACTTGTACGTGTTTAAAAAATCAATATATACACACATTGATCACTACCTAAACAAAGTGAATTTTTAAACAAATAACTAATTGTATTTAAAAATGTAAATTGTCTGACCTTTGTTCTAAACTGGACAGTGTTTCATAAAATAGTTATCTACCCGACCACTCTGCGTTTGTATTAACAACAAACGCCTAGTATCGTTTTGATTAAACATTCCAAATTTGCATAACTTAGAAATGCAACCAATAACCAAGTCCACATCTGGGCCGACTTCGCGGCGCTGCTAAGCACAAACATTTCACTTAGCACAAAACAGTTTGGTGAAGTTTCGTTAAGGTTATTAGCCAAAAGTCCATGTGATTTTCATGCAAAGCAAACAACAACTGAATACTATAATCACGAGCAAAATACATTACCTGGAGTTTTGGCTGCTTACCTGCCTTTATTAGCCAAACATTTGTGTGCTAAGCAACTGTTTCTCCTCAGCAGCTCCGTGAAATTGGCAGATTTCCAAATCGCTCGCGCATGCGCTACGTATACCTCCCCTTGACAACAGATTTTTGAGAAACAAACCAATTCGATCTAGCGCTATCTTCATATATGATCTAAGCCTGACAAAAGTTCTACTTCAACTTGGCCAACAACTACACTAAAGCGAAAGGTAACTTTCATCTCATCTTTTTTGGCACTTGTCTCACATCATTGGAAAGCCAAATAAACAGTTTCCAGTGTTTTTTTCTAATGAAAAATTCATGTTTCTTTCAGACCAAATTTTCAACCCATGGGCCCATGAGCAATATTCACCACGTGCTATTCATGTACGAGCTCAATAACGTAGTCCACTCCTTAACTTATCGCCTTTTTTAACATTCGGACATCGCCAGACCATGTCCGAAAGTTAAAAAGTCAATAAGTTGGGTCTAAATTAGTCAGATATATGCTCAACCATGGAGCTACATATATCACCTGAGTATTATTAGTATATATCGCTCAACATGCATGCTCACCACCAAATGCAGTTAACAACTCTAAGTCTAAGTTACTAAAGACAAAGGCTGTTCAAAAGTATTATTGTGTTAAGTACACCATATAGGCCTATCCCTAATTACTTATGAACATAGGCCTAGGCCCTATTTCCCTTTACTAAAATTGTGAAGTCACATTCCAGCTCTGACCAGCACGAGAGTGCCTAAATTCTCAGTCTAAGAAAGTAACCACCTAAGTAGCAAAAGCGAATCGATGAAGTGTGAAGTACGTTACATAGCTGCTATGGGAACCTGGAGCAAAATTAAGGTGTGCCCACTGAAGTGGATCAATTAATCATGTTACACTTTCAGTAGAAGCAGAAGCTAGGGTATAGGAGACCCATTAGTCTTAGGTAGTAGTAGATCGAGAGGAACTAGGGTATAGGAGACCCATCAGTCTGTAGAAGCAGGAGCCAGATGTCATTGAAGTGTGAAGTTGCATCCTAGTGGTGCCAAGTACAGGGAGCCTAGAACAAGCTTGGTCTACCCACTGAAGTGGAACAGTATGGTTGCAGCAGTGAGTCTCAGTATAACTATAGGACCTATACAGTATAGAAGACCCATTAGTCTTAGGTAGTAGCAGAGGACCTACAGTATAGGAAACCCATCACTCTGTAGTAGTGGGGACTAGATGCCTTTCAAGAGTGAAGTTGCATATCCTAGTAGATGCCAAGTAGCTGGATGGGAGCCTAGAGCAAGCTTGGATAATGCCCAATGAAGTGCAACAGTTACACCTCTATGTTCCGACACCCCTATGTTCCGACTGCACATATTCCTATTCCTAACCCTAACCCTAACCGGGAGTAACACAATCCAGGTTGTCGGAACATCATATAGGGGTGTCGGAACATAACGCAGTCACCAGTGCAACAGTAGAGTTACAGTCTCAGTACAAGGACGACCTGGGGTTCAAGAGACCCATTAGTACTTAGGGTATAGGAGACCAATCAGTCTGTAGCAGTAGGACCCAGATGTTATTAAGGTGAAACCCAATGTCTTGTGGAACTGTCTTTGCATGCTTACCAGATGTCAATGGCTTCTCGTATGCATCATGGATGCCACAACTGGATCAGACTGATGCCAGTTTGGCTGCATCCCAAAGAACTTTGTGGTCGTTAATGTACGTGAGGATGTTTGACAATGGCCGATTTGTCAAAATCTCCTCATCATCCATGTGGTCTGTGTTAATCCTTTAGCCTGGTTAGAACCTTAGTTCCAACCAGTTTCCTTGATGTAAACTTTGCCACATTTACATGGAATGCAGTAGACCCCCTGCTTGGACAAGGAGTCCTGCTTGTCCATGTGAGTGTGGAGGGTGCCTTGGAACTTCTTGCAACATGAGTAATACACCTTGACACCAGCTAATTGTCAAAGGATGCATTGGAGATGATGAGAAGCTGCACATATATGTACAAAAGAGTGACTGAGTGTGAGGCAGATACAGTGGAAGGACCTTCCCCAGAGGAGACCTAGTGGTCAGGTTTGATGATCTTAATGCGGTTGAATCAGCAAACCTGAACCTAGGGGTCTCCTCTACCCAAGGTCCTACCACTGTGTCTCCCTCAGTCACTCTTCCATACAAAGGTCCAGCTTCTCATCATTGATCTCCAACACATCCTCCGACAAGCTGTGTCAAGGTGTATCACTCATCTTCCGACAAGCTCCAAGCCATCCTCCACACTCGCAGGACACTTCCTCCAAGCCAACAGTCTACCGCATTTCATGTAAATGCAGCAAAGTCTACATTAGGGAAACTGGTTGGAACCTTCCCACAAGACTCAAGGAACATGTACAGACCACATGGACGACGAAGACATTTTCACATATCGGCCATTGTCAAACATTCCCACATTAACTATCACAATGTTGATTGGCATGCAGCCAAACTCATTGCCTCGATCCAGTTCTGGAATCCACAACGCATCGACATGAGGAACCATTGAGATCCACAAGCACAACACAGTTCCTCAAGACATTGTGGCACCTCAACAACATCTGACTTCCACTCCTATACAATGATGGGACTCTATATCCTAAGTCCTCTAATACTACAGACTAATGGGTCTCATATACCCTAGGTCCTCCTACTGAGACTGCAACCCAACTGTTCCACTTCAGTGAGCACGTCCATTAGCTTGCTCTTGGCTCCCATCACCTACTAATCCACTATAGGATGCAACTTCACACTTCAACGACATCTGATTCCCGCTCCTATAGACTGGTGGATCTCCTATACCCTAGGTCCTCTCTATCTACCACTACCCCAGACCAATGGGTCTCCTATAGCTCCTCCTCCTACCAAGAGTGCAATCCAACTGTTCTACTTCAGTGGACACACCATAACCTTGCTCCACACTCCCATAGCAGCTACTTAAAATCCACTAAGAGGTAACTTCACACTTCATCAATTTCCCTTTGCTACTTAGGTGGTTACTTTCTTAGACTTTATTAGGCACTCTCCTCAACACAGTCACCTGACCAGAACATCATGTTGATACCTTTTGTTCTTTTCAGAACTATTATTCACACATGATGTTTCCACAAACCTTTCATTTATTAACCTTATATACTTCACATTAATCTCTTATCATTTACATTTATTCATTTACCTTGACTAACTCCACCTCCATGCTCATCAAGAATTTGACATGTGGAGCTTAAACTGTCTTGTAGATCCGAGATTCTAACAGGCCTAAAAAATGAGACTCTCTGTTATGATCTTTCTCCTGTCTACTAAACCCAACTCACAAACATATTCAAATGAATGAGATATTTTCCATGCAATCTATATTGGGAAACTAGAGGGAAAAATAACCATTTTAGTGCTACAGATACAGATCAGAGTCACATTTTTAGGACCCCTTAGAATCTAAAATGTACTTACATAGTTTTACCTTCAGCCCTATATGTCAAATTCCTGATTGACTATATTGCAGCTGCATCAACTTACTAAAATTATTCATCAATCCTTTGTCAATTATCAAGCTCCCATCATTTGTTTCCTCACAAAAACATGTTGCAACCTCACACTACATTTTTTCTTCATACAATGAAGAAATTTACTTTATAACTTACAGATAACTTATAACTTGGCCTTCATCTTAATGACTGTCAGTAATGACAAAATACATTTTGAACTGTTTTTTACCTGCCCCTAGAGGGTGCTCAAACACTTAATGGCATCATCAATCATTTTTCTGGAACACTGAACGCACCCAAAGACTAACACCGTTGACAACAAGTCCATATCTTTTTCCAATTTCAAATTATTAGGCACTTCTGATATCAACTGGAAGGAAGGCTTACAAGACTTGACACACAAAAGATAAACTACAGATCATGTATTATCATGTCAATTCCCACAACATTCAACTTCATGTCTCTCATGTTAATTTAATTATATTTTAAATTTGAAAGATTAAATTATTAACCTTTCAAGTGCAGACGTACGTCACACAACCCATGATGACTTCATAATTACAAAAAAAGCATCTTCAGTGGGTTCTCCATTCATGTATTTTCATTTGTGTTTTCATTTTGACAAACAGTTGTGGAGAACAATTTCCTGAAAACAATAATACTAACAAAAACAAAAGTACATTCATGCAATAATTAACAATAGGTGTTGCACTAATAGCCAAACAACTAATGGAATCCTTAAATCAGACTTATTATGTTACTGCACCTGGTGCAAAACATTTTAAAGATGTAACAAAACCTCTGTTAAAATCATATTTAGTTAATAATAAACTACATTAAACAATATATACAGTAATGTGTATATTTTCATTACAGCGAGCTTATTTTAACATTGGTGAAGTATACACATGTGCATTTTACACAATATTAAATTAAGTATTATCACATTTTTATTATCAGATGTCAGCTGTCAACATTAAAATCATCACAGCAGCAGAAGAGCGACCTAAAGCGATGTACGTAATGAGATGCATCACAGGTGATCACCAAGTGAAACCGTTGTACATGTTCCATGAAGCACAAGCCAAATTCGAGGTTGGCAACTACTACAAACTCGTAGGCTATACTTCATTTGAGCTAGCAAACCACGAAAGTGCCATCAAAGTCAATGCAAAGACCCGAGTAAGTATGCAAAGTTTCAAACACTTTATATAAAATGTGCATATTTCTCTACAAACTTCAATAATCGACCAGCACTGAAGTTGAATATTTAACTTTAGTCTGCATTTTTTTTGGAAATAGCACGCAACCATGTTACATAAATCAGTGCAACGATGGAGAACAAAATGTAGGTAGATGCCACCCTTAAGTTTGACCAAAATATATCTAATTTCCATAAAATATTAATCCCTGCCATTTATTTCCATATTGGGGTATATTCTATATTCTTTTGATTTTTAAAAAGTTAATTTCAGTCATACTACTTACACACCCTTACTTAAATAACATTTTTATAAGCTTTTTATACAAATATTGACTGCTTGGAATGGTGTTGTAAAACTAGCCTCCCAAGGTGATCCATGGACATTCTATTTTCACAACTGTACTATTATTTTTTTACTGCCATTTTTTCTTTCAGATTTTCCACTGTCAACCATTCTTCATCCCGGCTGAAATTGAAGAACAATTCTTCCACGCTGACCCTGTGAGCGTCGAGGAAGCACTCCAGCTACCACCATACCGACGCGCATCCATCAAAGGCATATTGACCTATGTAAGTAAAACCATCATACTACAATTCTTCTTATCTAAGCCTTTCAATACACATTCCCTTCACAACATACTTTTTAACAAACCATAAGTATCAAACTCTTCTACCTCACATAATAATACATATATTGTCAACAAACAACACTTTACCACAGACAGTGCAAAACATATACATTAACTGTGGTTTATAATTTTCAGGTCTCACCGGTCAAGGAGGCCACAGGTTGGAAACGGAAGACACTCCACCTCTCACAAACATCATGCCCGAACAAAGTCGTTGTGAACCTTTGGAATCACATGTCATCAACTCCGGTCCCACCCATGAGATCTATGGTAGAAGTCACCAACGTTGAGACATCCTTGTATCAAGGCCAGATCTCATTCAACACTACACCTGAAACAAATATCAAGGTAAGCAATCAATTTTTAACATATTTTTCAAAACCCATCATTTCATTTTTCATTAATTTTCAAAAATATTTACAATCAATACAATGGAACCCACCAATATAATTTCATTTCATAGACTACTACTTTCATCCACACATCCCTTCATACAAACAAACTGCTAATTCCCCCACCCTTTTTCCCCCACAAATACAATTTTAAACTTAATTACCTAGAGAGAAAAAAGACACACACCTTTTACACTCACAAAACCCATGGTACACCCATTCCTGATCCCCTCTCCAATTTGCTCCATCATTGGTTGTGTCTGACAATGACATTTGTCAATGTTCCTCTCATATGACTGTGGAGAAGAAAATTATTACAAAAGTGCAAAACAACTTCATATATTCCACTATTAACCATTAACTTTCCTAAATATACAACCTTCCCAAAAATTACCAAATCACAGCGTCTACAAACTACCCAAATTTTAACAAAACACAATTGTCTTATTTAAAAAAAAAAACAACTCACAAACACATACCACTCATTCAGTATTTTCTTACTCGTCTTTATTCTTCCAATTCAACAGGAGCAACTTGCAACTGACACAAAAGACATCAACATCACTGCATACTGTGAAGAAAGGTAAGACCACACCTTTTTTTCTCATTCTAACTTTCTTCTTATTACATCTCTTCTAACAACTATACAAATCCTTACAAAATATCGTACACTGCCTCTTGCCTGTATAGATGCTCTGCTTTATGCTAAAAAGTCTCATTCATTAACAAAGCAATCATCCAACCCTTTTTTTTTACCCTAACCCCTTTCATAATTTTTTTAATACCATCTTACCTTGCTCTTCCAAAATCAATCTCCACATGCTAAACTCAAACAGTAAGGCATTTTCAAGATAAGTTGAACTGGAACACTGGGCAATGTACAACATTTGCTTTTGCTGCAATTATCAGAAATAAATGAATTTGTTGAATCAGTGTGGTATAGCAAATATTATTAAATGACTTAATTCACATTTTGGGCTCATGCATGCAAAAAAACTCAAGAAAGCCAATTATCATTCTTGTAGTCTGGTTCCCTCACCCCATGAAACACTAATTAAGATAAATAAAACCAATTTATAGACTTCAGGGATGGTAAGGTCAGAGAATCAGTCTACAAGGCTTGTACCCCTTTACAGATGTGTAATCAATAGCAAAGATGCACAATAACTAATTAGTAAAAATTACGAGCATCTTTTCAACAAAGCCAGTTTTCTCCAACGCTAGTCAGCTGACCACCATTGGAAAAATACAAATTTTCTGGAAAATGTCACCATACCATGACCCACATTTTTACAGGATGCTTTCAACTGTCATTGCCTAACAATGCAGTAAGGCATTTTCTCATAATTTAATCATTTCATTTTGTGATGTTTGCAAACGTTGTATCCAGTAGCATAGCCAGGAATTTTTCAGTTGGGGGGGGGGGAGGGCCTGGAGTGGTGGAACATTTCATGGGGGGGCATCATGTAGATCAATGATAATTTTTTTACAAACTCAAAATCTCAGTGGGAGAGGCAACTGGGGGGGGGGGGGGGGCGACAAGGTTTCATGGGGGGCCGTCGCCCCCCCCCCTACGCCCCTCCCCCCAGTTGTATCTTACCTTTAATATAATGCTTTGCTTGTCTCAACTTGGCATTTTCAGACCAAACACGGTTACTATATCACCTGATTCAGGGCAAGCCTATTATTATCTCACCAACCCCCAGCTCCGACACCGTCTTGTGTCAATTTAATGTAAAATCTCACACTTTTTCTTAGTAGTTATGAAACTCTTCTTCATTCTAATTTAACACTGCATATCATTTCCACCAAACTTAATCACTATTTTCTACAGATTCAACGTAACTCTTCTCTCTGACACTGACGAAGAGTTCTATGTGCCTGAGCAAATGCTCCTCGACTTCGCAAACATCAAATCCTTGCACAACTTCCAGCTGCCAATGTGTGCTCAAATGACATACAACATGACAACCAAAGTTGTGCAGAGTATCAAACAGTAAGTATTTACACTTGTATTTCAACTTAACTTCATTTCAACAATTGACTCCATTATCCCTTTACCATTACATTTCCATATTTAGTCCACTTCATTCAACCCACATCAGGCAACCATGCACCCTCCACATACTTGTACAATTTATCCAATATTCACATCCGCTTCATCCTCACATTTCATACTGATCTTCCACACAAGGGCAGATCCGGGGGGGGGGCAAAGGGGGCCTTCCCCCCCCCAAAAAAAAACGAAACCAATTTTTTTTTTTTTTGATGTGACATCACAATAAAGGCAGGCAATGAGTACACCACCATCTCTTCCTTAAAAAACATTGGCTAAAGTGGTCAGAAATTGCCTCAGATCGCACCACAGAGCATCTAGAATCCAAAATTTGTTCGTGGCCCTTGAGCAAGCCCCGAACAAACCCAACGCTGTAGCGCTGGCTCTTTGGAACAATAAGCGCTACGTGCAACGCTGACCGCGCACACCAGCATGCATTTGCACACAAATACCGCGTCATGATCCTAACTGTTGAATAGTATACAAATATTGAGTGGCACAGCGTGGAATGGGAGGAATATTATCGCAAGGTAAAATCTGGACTTTTCCATTTCACGAGGCGAAGCCGAGTGAACTGGAAAAGTCCAGATTTTACCGAGCGATAATATTTCTCCCATTTCACAATTTAAAGCCACTCAATATTTGTTTTATATAACTGAAATATAGATCCTTGTCATTTGATATATTTGAACCTTTTTTTTTTCAATACAAAACTGAACGAAAATCTATTTCTCTCTCCCAAACCACCCCTTCACGAAAATGTTTGAACCTAACGCTGTAGCGCTGGCTCTTTGGAACAATACGCGCTACGCGCAACGCTGAACGCGCACATCAGCATTCATTTGCACACAAATACCGCGTTATGATCCTAACTGTTGAATAGTATTTCCCATTCCCCATGGGCGGATAGTACTTTTTGAACCGCGGCGTGAATGGGAGCAATAACGAATGTCATGTGATGTGAGTTCCACCAATCAAATGACTAGGATCTGTATGTCAGTTATATAATATTTCCCATTCCCCATCGGCAGATAGTACTTTTTGAGCCGTGGCGTGAACGGGAGCAATAACGAATGTCACGTGATGTGAGTTCCACCGATCAAATGACAAGGATCTGTATGTCGGTTATATAAACATAGTTATTTACTTCTCATATTACGACCCGCTGCACGGCACATATCACACCCAATACCTTATACAAATAAGATCATCTGTGGCAATTTTTACACTTTGAAAATGTAAAACAAATTATTAAGATTTGAAAAGTATCCAATAAAACTACTCTCTCGGAGGGTTATTTTATGTAACATTTTCTTTTATTTTTTGACTTGCTGCTAACGGCCGAGTGTTGTAGTCCGGAGCCCCTTGGTATGGAAGACAGGACAATCGCTGATGGTCAGATCAGGGCGTCCAGCAGTAGTCCCACTGCTCCTGCCATTGAGGCACGTCTCAATAACATGAACGGGAAATGGAATCCTAAGAGGTAAGTACAACACTAACCAAGCACCAAACTGACCTAACAATATTGTCTGCAAATCAACGCTTCAAAGCATTAGAATAGTTTAATAGAAATGACAAACCTTACAACCAATTCTAAGCATACAGCAAGTCAGTATTTATAACTGAGTAGTTTTGATTGCATTCGCTCCAAAACTGCTTGCGGATATGTTTTCCGGATTATTGCACTGTTATTAACACTACGTTACTATGTGTACAGGACCGATGCAAATCCCTGGATTGAGGTAGACCTCGAGAAGAGTACAGTGGTGTATGGTATCATCACACAAGGAGGCTTGATCGATTGGTATGTTAAGAAGTACACAGTGGCATACCAGAAGCAGCCCTCAACTGTCTACGATCATGTATCAGATGGAAACGGAGATATCAAGGTAGTCTTTTACATAGTATTCCTGCGTATCATAAAGATTCAACTAAGATTTCAACAAGCTTGATATATTTGTTGAATTATTTTTTATGTTATTTATACTGTAGGGAATAAGTTCGATACATCTTTTCATTTGTCTTATGAGTGAATTTGTTTGTCTCGAACTAATTCTGAAACCAATTTCAATAGTATTTACGCATTGGGTATCATTCGAGACTATAGTCAATGTGGACTCCCTGCACGAGTTTTGCTAGAGGTAGTGCTAAGACCGGTTTGTACTTGCACAAATATCAGTATACGAGGCCTTTTCTTTAGTGTAACGGACCACGTAACTACGAAACTTGATAACTCGTCATGCAGGTCTGTTTGCCTACGCATTGTGTATGTACCGGCTTTGCATATTATTGATACGAAAACTGAAACCAAAATATTGATATCTCGGCACTGTATTAGACATTTACATGGAATTGTGTAAATTTGCTGAATTGAAAATATTGATATCTCGCGGTAGTAAACATTTACACGGAATTGTGTAAATTTGCTTAAACGAAAGTATTGATATCTGCGGTATTCAACTTAACACGGAGGTTTTTTTAACTGGGCGACGTCATCGCTGATTATTCACCATTGCGTTGTTTGTTCAAAAAGAGTGAACAAAAGCAAGCTTGGTTTTCTAGGCTCATCGATTCATACATGTATCCCGTAGGGGTGTCGAACCCGTACCAGGTCTTGTCTGAGTGACGGAAACCTGTATGGTGCAAATTCGATCAGCAATGGGTTGGGTCTTATTGCTACAAATAGAACCGCTTTTTAATGCAATATCCCATCATACTTTGTCGCAATATTAAATTAGGCATATTTGTCTGACGTTTTTACACTATTGTGACAGCTGATTTAAATGAAGCAATAAGGCCCCGTGGATTAATTCCGATTTGCGTGCGCCCCCGTGCGCCTGCGAGCGCACGCGTGCTCATGCGTTCTACCCCGTGCTGCACGGGTCTGCCCGCAATTGCATAGGGGTGCAGACCAGTAAATCGGTCCTAAATTGCCTGCGCCGGCCAAATCACGATTTGCATGCCCTCAAAATCTTCGGTATTTGGGCATGCTTTGGGCCATGAACTTGAGGGTTTGTAAAAAATATGGGTGGAAGCCGTGCACAGGACTGGGAGCTTGCAGTTCTGTGTAATTTGGATGTAATTTGGACCCTAAAAGCGCTCTATTTTGCAATGGAGTGTAGGCATCGTTTTTCAAAATGGCGATGGGCTTCAGGACTATTTTCAGGGGTGATCATCTTCAGATGGAAATTTCTCCTAAAAGTCATCAGTTGACCCCCCGAAAATTGAAAAGAAAATGAAAGATGATGAAATAAGCTTTAATTCGATGTGCGTCTCAAACACCTTGGAGAGTTATGAGTATTTTTCCCGAATTTTTGAAGTGGGAGCATTTACCATTGGGGTCTATGGAAGTTTATTTACTGGTCTGCTACCTGTAGTTTCAAAATGGCGCCTTCCATCGTTTGTTGTCAAATGTTTGCGGAGTGGGTTTTTTTTCAGGGGGCGGAACCTGGGGGGGGGGGGGTCAGCGTTTCAAAAGGGGTCACCAATGGCGGTTCCGCAACAAATGCGCCCAAAATCTGAATAGGGCCGATGGACCGTCGTCCGATCACAGCAATTTCGAGCGAACAAGGGGGGGGGGGGGTAATTTGGGGTCGGAAGGAGCAAACACTCAATTAACGCCCGTTGGGGGCGCCCTACAGTAAGGTAGCCGCAAACAGAGGGCTTGTTTTCAGGCCAGAAATCGCAGTCGGAGATTTTTTTTTCTTGCAATTTTTTGATGAAATATAAGTCATCCATCCTTCCTCGTGCCGTACAAGTGCTTTGGGGAAATTTTTCAAAACCTCGCTTCTCTATAGGGTGCAGACCAGTAAATCGGTCCGAAATTGCCTGCGCCGGCCAAATCACGATTTGCATGCCCTCAAAATCTTCGGTATTTGGGCATGCTTTGGGCCATGAACTTGAGGGTTTGTAAAAAATATGGGTGGAAGCCGTGCACAGGACTGGGAGCTTGCAGTTCTGTGTAATTTGGATGTAATTTGGACCCTAAAAGCGCTCTATTTTGCAATGGAGTGTAGGCATCGTTTTTCAAAATGGCGATGGGCTTCAGGACTATTTTCAGGGGTGATCATCTTCAGATGGAAATTTCTCCTAAAAGTCATCAGTTGACCCCCCGAAAATTGAAAAGAAAATGAAAGATGATGAAATAAGCTTTAATTTGATGTGCGTCTCAAACACCTTGGAGAGTTATGAGTATTTTTCCCGAATTTTTGAAGTGGGAGCATTTACCATTGGGGTCTATGGAAGTTTATTTACTGGTCTGCTACCATAGGCCCCTAATTTAACGCCGTAATTTTTGGACCCACTTTTTGGGGGGACCAAAATTGTGTTATGGATCCGCCCTTGCTTCCACATCCTATTCAATTATCTTTTTGCACTTCATTCTCACTGAGTATCTCTTGTCACTATCATAACTCATCTAAACCTAACAAAAGAATTCCAATAACAACAATTCGAGCTGCATTAATAACTACATCACATCATTAAGATAATCTAACCGATACATACCCACATCCCCTACACCACACATCAAAACATGTACCTCAACAGTTTCAACACCCCCACCCACATTCACAGTAAGACACTTTCCCCAAAACTTTTCCCCTTCCTTTCCCCCTCCCCCTCCCCCCCCCCCCCGATTGATCCCCAGCACTTTATCGACATGTTCTATTCAATTTCTTATCTGATAAGATTCACAAAATATTCACACCAATCAAACACTATACAAATTCATACTTTACAGAAAACATGCTCAGCACATGTGCATTTGTAAAACCCTAGATAGTCTACAACCAACGTCTTTGTATTTGTTATACATACACTATTCTGCAGTTCCACAAATTTCTCATACACAAAAAATTAGTTGTTCTACTCACTTATTTCCAGCCCATTCACAGTACAGTAGGTCCACACACACATACACAAGCTTACAATTTCATTTTGACTGCCCCATCAAATATTTCCTCCCACCCAATTCCCTTCCTCCCCCCCCCCCTTTTATGAAGTACAAATTATATATTCGCATCAATCTGTAATATGATTTTTTTTCTCTGTTTTTTTTCCGGGCATAACAGTCCAACTAATCCAACAAGATAAACTAAGACTTAATTATATCCCACATTTCACCACTTATCACACAAACATAAATCAAATACTCCACCACCAAATTTTCATTTCAAACTGTCTTTCCACCACTAATTCTAACTTCTTCCTTAATGCATGTATCACTAAATCTTACAAACAAAGAATTTACCATGACTACCACTTAACACCTTAGATTAATATTTCAATCTAATTGAATTAAACTTCGAAGTGCTACATAACACAATCTATTTCTTCTCTGAAACTTAACTTAATTAACATCACATATTCAAATTTAAATCTTCACTTCACTGCTCATTCAATTTTTATTCTTTTTAATTTTAAAGCATCACCGATGACTCTGAAGCCTCCACATCAAAGACTACCTTGGCAGTAGATTAAAGGCTGAACCATCCTGAGGAATCTCAGCCATCCTGAGGAGTCAACTTCAAATCAAAACTGATCACTGCAAATAGTTTAAAAAATCAGAACAAAATTCACCATCTATTGAATCATAAAACTAAAGTCTTGAGTCATTTGATTATTAAAAAATGTCCACATTAATGTTTTAATCAAACCAATATTTTCTAAATAATTATTGCTTTTAATTACGTACTCCATGGGTGACTCAAAAAAGCAATACCCAAATGTCGTGACTAATCTTTAAGTTAGGTTCTGCATGTAGCACTTTCAAAATCTAGCATATGCAAGCCCAATCCATAACCTTTCATTTAGTACAACAATCATTTAAATCACTTAGGTACTTTACTACTTTTTAAACACTACAATCTAGAATTTTAAACACAACCACCATTTTAAAACATTTTCCTCAGATCACAAGAAGGTAAGTCTTCTTTCAGCCAAACAAAAACAGATCACATAGGAATGTGTATGAATTGTTTTCATTTTGTTGAAACAACACCCACCTTTCTTGTCATCCATGAACGGATTTTCAAACATTGGTTGTGTTTAAAATTCCATAGCGTGAAAAGAACATGAGTGATCTGAATGATTCTTGTACTAAAAAAAGGATTCTGAATTGGGCTTTCAACTTCATACAATAGCTGTCAAATTTGCTGACTTGGTTCACCCTCTCTGCTTGACCATTATCACCAACCATATAATAAAGTTACAGGCCCACAATTTACATATAACAGCTACGTGCAGAACTGCACTAATCATCCCAACATTTGGGTTGCTGCTTTTTTGACTCACCCTATACATGCATTTGCTTAGCAGTAAATGAAACAGTTGAATAAGGCTAAAAAAAAAAATATTCGGTCTCTGGTCAGACCAAAGTTCCGGAATTGACGCAGCCCCACGGTTTTTTTTTGTTTTTTTTCCTTTTTTTTTTTTTCTTCAAGCTTGGATTGTACAGACAAGGTGGGTACTATTTTGCTTTTTTGGTGTCCTCCTGTACATTGGTGTCCTCCATAATTTGCCTTGGTGCTTTCAATCATTTGCCTTGGTGCTATTTCCCATTCCTTGGTGCTCTTTGGTAAAAAAAAATTGAGGAGGTGCAAAAAATAGAGGGCGCTGTTGGAGCTAAATGATTAAATTCGACGCGTGCGCTGACCAGAGACCGACTTATTATTTGTTTTGGCCTAACACTCTGTCTGAACACTAAACTTCAAATAATACCAAGCCCAAAATAATCACTGCAAATCATTATCATTGATTTAAAAATCACAAAAAAACTCAACATATATTTAATCATGCAATTTACATCTTGACTCATATAATTATTTCATACATGTACACATGATCAATGTTTTAATCAAAACCCTAATTCTCTCAATAATTTGTGTTTTTTGTTACATACATCTATTAAGCATTTCAGTAGTTAGCTTTTGTTACGTTTGCATCTAGCCCGACTCCATCTGGACGTACAGTACTATCATACCAATTTTGATGGAGATTATCTTCTCATCCAGGACACAAATTTTCAAAGTTAAGGTTCCTCTTCGAAAAAAACGTGTGATTATCTAAAAATCTTCATCCATCTGACCAAAAAACATCTTTCAATCATCATCTCCCATGAATATCATCCCGAAAATGTTCCTTCATGCAATTTCAAAATGGGGACCGCGTTGTAATGTATGCATTATGCACGTACACTTGGGCAAGATGATGAATATGCATTCGTTTCATAACGTTTGTCAGGCGCACGGGGCAGCTGTCCATATAAAAACAAGGTCATGAACTGAACAATGCATATTCATAATCTTGCTCAAGCGCGCACACATAATGCATACATTACAATGCGACCACCATTTTTACATCGAATAAGGGAACATTTTCGGGGCAATATTCATGGGAAATGATAATTCAAAGTCATTTTTTGGTCAGATGGATGAAGATTTTTAGATAAAAGAATGTCTTTTTCGAAAAGGTATAAGTTACTCTACAATTAGGAACCTCAACTTTGTAAATTTCTGTCCTGGATGAGAAAATAATCTCACAATTGGTAGCCGAAAATCACTACATCAGAGTTCACCATTTAGGGGAGCATTGGTTGTCTGGCCATACTACACAGCTTGCGATAGTACTGTACGGCCAGATGCAGTCGGGCTAGTTTGCATCATATTTAAACTCTTTCCCAGTTCTCTATTGTTAACCATATACTATTTACAAGATGTTCCATGTAACTCCCGAAAAATTAAAGTGTACATGATAACACATACGAATATAGCCAATCCTAACTCCAGTAACACAATTACCTAATTCAGTCAAAATCTAGCGTAGGACTCCAATCCATAACCTTTCATTTATTACTACAACAATCATTCAAATCACCGTCTTAGGTACTTTACTATTTCTTAAACAGTACAATCTAGAATTTTAAACACAACCACTATTTTAAAACATTGTCCTTGGATCACAAGAAGATAAGACTTCTTTCAGCAAAACGAAAACAGATCACATACAGATGTGTATATGAATATGTATGAACAGATCACATACAGATATGTTTATGAATTGTTTTCATCTTGCTGAAACAACACCCACCTTTTTTGTCATCCATGGACAGAACTTTCAAACATTAGTTTTTTGTGTTTAAAATTCTGTAGCGTGAAAAGAACATCGGTGATCTGAATGATTCTTGTACTAAAAGAAAGATTCTGAACTTTGGGCTTTCATGTCCTACATTTTGAAAGCCCAACTTTGTGACACACATTTCATTTCTTTTTCCTGGCACGACATGCCCTCTCGTTCGCTAGGTGTTCTTGGGAACCGCAGAAATAGCAAAAAGTTTGTATAGTGGACACTTCTCATTGAACACAGCAATTTCAACGTTTCAACTTCATGCAATGGCTGTCAAATTTGCTGACTTGGTTCACCCTCTCTGCTTCACCATTATCACCAAAGTTACAGGCCCACTATTTACATATAACAGCTATGTGCAGAACTGCCGCACACATCATCCCAACATTTGGGTTGCTACTTTTTTGACTCACCCTATATATGCATTTGCTTAGCAGTAAATGAAACAGTTGAGTGGCACTCTATCTAAACACTAAACTTCAAATAATACCCAGTCCAAAATAATCACTGCAAATCATTATCATTGATTTAAAAATCACAACAAAACTCAACATATATTATCTCTGAATAATTTGTGTTTTTAATAACATAAGTCTACATCTATAAAGCATTTCGGTAGTTAGCTTTTGTTACATTTGCATCATAATTATCTCAATAATGTGTGCTTAATTACATAAATCAAACGTTATATGCCACAGTCCTTACTCGGCCACAAATACTGAATAAAAACCCTTTCCTGTTGACGGGAACAAATGCTCAATACTGTGCCTTCATTTTTCTTTTAACCCACATCCCCTCCCCTACTAGATTCAATTGTCCGTCGCACAAGTTCCCATTATTTTTTTCTTCATAACATTTTCTGCGCCAACAAACACCCCTTGTAGTCTTGCATATTAATCGGACATCATCTTAATCATTGTACTTTTCCTCACGGCCGTACGCTATATCTCCACAAGTACAACTTACTAGTCTTCGCGTGCGCACACTGTTTTCTGCATTCTATTCTTATATTGCAAGTACTTCAGAAAAGTTTACAAATTAGACTGATGTCATACCCGTAAATTTTCTTCAGTCACAAGAGGGCGCTCTAACCGCGCCAGTACTGTCAAGATTCATCCAACATCAGTCCAATGAGAACTTCCTAAGTTTGATTTTGACATACACCCAGTCTTATTACTTTTATATTTTTTGACATTTCAATAAACACAATAGTTAATTGTGTATAATAGGTGATCTCAATAACAATCCTCAGTCCTCTTTTTGACGATGTATAACATCAATAACTGCCAATTAATGCAGGCCTTCGTTAACATCTTCGTTTTAACAGAAGTCTGTAATGATGCTCTGTCCATGACTATTCCACTTTTGTTCCCATTCCATAACTGAAAACGCAAAGACAGGTCAATAAACAATATTTCTACCACAAAACCGTAAACTTTTACGGGATCAAAATAAGGACAGCGCGTTACAAAAAAATAAACGCCGCACCGTCTACAATGAATGGCGCCCCCAATTGCAATCAGTTCAATATAGCTTGTTTCAGTGATTTCTTCTCCTTTCAACGGAGGAGTTGTCTTGAGTATCACCAGTTATCCACAGCCTCCACAGGGCCACTTTTCACCAGGAACAGAGTCTATAACACACACTAAATGACGTGCAGGATCTTGACAAATCACCTTCCACAAATTATTAATCAACTTCAATGTTACAACGACAATATCCGACTTCATTCAAGACATGAATTAACTATAAAAAACACCAAAATTCACATCATTATAACAAACCACTTCCCGTCTACCACGACACAGTCCACCTCCTTACCCATTCTCCAGCATGTTTATTTTACACAACCATCATGCACGCAATAAACCCCACCACCAATGGATTTCTTTATATCAATTTGAAGAAGAAAAAATACCCAACACAAAACATATGACAATTAACGCGATCTACCCGATGTTCCCCAATACCGATGTAAACAATATTACCCGAAATCCTTAGGATTAAGGTTAGGGTTAGGGCTTGGATTAGGGTTAAGGTTAGGGTTATTATGGTAGAGATTTCCACGAACATCAGTATTGGGGAGCATAGGTATGCACCCAAGTTAACAAAGGTTAACTAGTTGGCAATCTCTCTTCCGAACGACAAACATGTTATTGTAACGGGGCGTGGATGGACGGGGTGCCCGTTCAGAGACTGTGTAATACTCACAGCTTGACAACGAATGTGTCTGAACGAACTTCACCAGATATAATACAGCCTGGATGGTCAGACGCTGCAGCCAGTGGAACAGACTGAAAACGGCGTGAATTTTGAAGGCGGATGAGGGCGTGAAATTCTGAACCAGTCTGAACTATTAACTATAATGTGGACTCAGGGAGGGGAAGGGTAGGGGCAGCCCAGGCTCCTCAGGAAGACTCCAAAGTCGTCAATCAGAAGAGGCATATTATTAAACTCAGTCTACTAATGCGCAGCACGCGCAGGCATTAAACAAACAAGAAATTCACTCGAGAAAACAGCTTTTAGAATTCAAGAACTCAATCCGCAACAAATAATTTATTAACAGTGTCAACTCGGCTTATTCAACTCTATTTACATGAAGGGAATTATTAACATTTAAAGACGTTGTGGAATGCCCGAAGACATTTCCGTCATTTTTTGGGTATATGTAGCCTAAGGTGTGATGAAATAAAAACGACTATTGTTTCTGTCATGAAATGAGTACAAAAGGTACTGTTGAGAGCTGTTTTTCAGGTCCTGTTTCGACCCGAACGTGCAATTTGTGTAAAAGTCGTCGTTGCCGGCAGCAAACAAAACACAGTAAATCGTGACGTAATAAACAGGACTCGTACATGCTACTCTGCATCGGGAGTCCTGTTTATTACGTCACGATTTACTGTGTTTTGTTTGCTGCCCGCAACGACGACTTTTACACAAATTGCACGTTCGGGTCGAAACAGGCATAACAGGACTTGAAAGTACCTTTTGTACTCATTTTATGACAGAAACAATAGTCGTTTTTATTTCATCACACCTTGGGCTACATATACCCGAAAAATGACAGAAATGTCTTCGAGCATTCCACAACCTCTTTAATATATCTGTTACTGCATTGGCTGTTTAATTAAAGTGACTCTTTAGCAAGACACCGCCACTATGTGCGGTCTGCAAAATAAATTATGCGCGTACTTTGCTTTGCACGTTCGGCTACCTCGGAGGCAATGCCTTGTAAGCTGTCTGCTAACAATTAATACTGAATAAATTCAACAATCAC